TTGTGCTGGCAAGTTGGATAAATTATTATATAAAAAGGGGACTAAAGCCGCGGCGAGACTCGAACCGCGGACCTCGCAATATATAGTACTGTGACATATCCACTCGTCCACGACACTTCTGAATAAAAAATATATTATTCCTATTGTTGATTTATAATGTTGCCCGACTTACGTTTGCCCAGTTACATCTACCCAATTTATTTTGAACATTTAATTGGGTAAATACATGTAGTAAATAGTTGGGAGAAAATAATCCAAATGTTGAACAAAAATAGCCCAACTCTAATTTGCCCAACGACATTACCCAACCTATTTTTTACCTTTCGTCGGGTAACTTCATGATTATAGTAAACGGCTGGGAGAAAATAACCTAATTATCGAACAAAATTTGCCCAACTTCGATTTACCCAGTAACACCTGCCCAACTTTTTTTTTACAGTGCACTGTCAAATCTCAGCCTACGTTATGATCAAACATAGAAACCCAAAATACAAATCATAGCAAATCAAGCGGATCAATTTATTGATATAAAATAAACCATTTCGGATTGTCATCCATATGCAAGGAAGTACAACAGAAGAACAAAAACAGGTGAATCCCTCATGGTGCGTAGAGTTGAAATACTCCTATCTATTATTAAAGCCTATCTGCACTAGTGTGACCAGGAGGAATTAGACCTCACTGCGTGGTCACTGGTAGGTGGTTATCCAACAAAAGTACAACAGAAGAACACAAACAGGTGAATCCCTTATCGTGCATAGAGTTGAAATATTCCTATTTATTATTAAAGCCCATCTGCACTAGTGTGACCAGGAGGAATTAGACCTCACTGCGTGGTCACTGGCAGGTGGTTATCTCATCAAATCAGCTGTCAATTAACACAAGAAAATGGGGACCATGGAGGATCAACGGGTACCGCTTAGGCATTCTTGGCTGTATAGAGGGCGCAAGTAGTGCAGTCCCGCTTTAATACATTTGATTAAAACAAATTATTGATATCTAATTATTATTTTCACTTTTCTAGTTTTGTTATTATGCTTCGGGGAGTAAATTTGTCTAATTATATCAAGAAATTCCCTCTTTAGAATACACCATGAATACATTTTACTTAGCTTTACTTTAATGAGCGCCCTCGATGTTTACCCTATACAGAGTGAGTCAAAAAAAAGTTTACACCTATCAAATTGCTAATTATTTAAAAATCACCGATGAACATTAAACTGTTATGTTTCTTATGAAAGGGTGTTTTATCCCAAATCATTTGGTACCATTTTTGTGTGGTATGTGTTCACGCTTGGATGAACAGGAGACATTGTTTGCGAGAGTGCAAAAATCGAATTGCGCCAAAGTTGCCTATGTGATGTTTGAATAAAACAATTGGGATTTGGGTATTAATTCGGTCTTTGCAGATCCAAATAACACCCCTATCAAAATTAATCATGCCACACATATCAAATATCGAATATCAAATATCAACGAACATTTGTGCGCGTGTGTGTGGGTGTGTGTGACTTTGCCCTTTGCAAAAATCATTTGCGAAGCATTTCATTTGATAAATTCAATCAATTCTCTCACTCCGCTAATCCCAACATAATACATACTAAAGGCATCACTTTGGCGCAAGTCGATTTTTGCACTCTCGCAAACAATCCCAATAAACAAAATCACGTGAAAATCACGTCAATATCAAGGTATCGACTTGAAGAGAGTTACGTTCTTCAAACACCGTACATTTACGTAAATGTGTTAATACGTTTATTGCATTAGGTAACTTAAAACACACGTACACTAAATCACGCAATTGTCACTGCAATATCACCATTATAATAACGTGATTATCCCTACCTTGGAGACCATGGTTTGTAAACCTTATACTCCCGTGTTTGTTTGGTTATGAAATTACATCTTCATACACGAAATTATCGCGTCACAGAAACACGTGAAGCGTTAATGATAGTTTTAGTCAAAATATCTGCGTGAAATTCACGTGAATATTACGAGGCTGACTTGAGATGAATCATGTTCTTCATTCACGTGAAATTTACGTCGAAGAGGAAGTATGTTACTGTAACCCGCGTTCAACCCAATAATTCCGCAAATGTTACACAATAAATGAACCAAAATAATGACGTTCTCATCCCGTTTCTGAACATCGTGTCTTGGATCTTCCATAATTACGTCCAGGCGCGCCGGAAGCAGTTTGGGATTAGAGGGGTTGGGTGGGGGGGGGGGGGGGGGGAGGGGGTGCAAACATCCCAGAAGAGAAAGCTAGTTGCAACTGGTCCAGTTGATGAACCATTTTTAATGCCAACTGGTAACCCTGGAAATTGAAATGGGCTAAATGATCCAGTTGATCCAGGCCAGTTATAATTCAACTGGTCTAGCTGAGCCATTAGAACCATTTGGTAAAACTTCCAACCAGTTGAACAGCAACACTACTTCAATACTGGTACGTCTGTATTTCCAATGTAAGGGCATTGGTAATAAGTACACTTACATAATTGAATTAATCGAAAAAAAATCGTATACTTGTACTTTATTGAAATTATTTTAGTTCACAGTTAATGTTTCCCTTATTCATGTTTAACTATTTATACGAAGTAGCGAAATGTCCTAATAACTGGTAATTTATATTTGTAGTATTTTCGAAATGAATTGCATATAACTAAATCATCAGTAATTAAGAAATATGCTGTAAATTCAGATAAATTGTTTAAAAAACATAGATCTGCACGCACCCCATATTCAATATGCAAATGAATTGGTGTCAGCTGGGTCAACTCGAAATATGCCAACGCTCAGTCATCAACTGGTGCAACTGGAAATGTGCACACTCCAGTTATCAACTGGTGCAATGAAAATATGCCAACAGTCAGTTATCAACTGGTGAACATAGAAATATGCCAACAGTCACGGGATTATCACCACGGAACTTAAATAGTAACTGTGAAACCATCAATACACCCAAGAATAACTCATTTTCACACATGGAAAACACGGAATATCCAGCTTATATTAATAATCCGTTTGAGTCACGCGATCATCACCGCGGAACTGCTGGCAACTTTGCTACGATTTAAATAGGTGTTTTAAGACACCTAACCATGACTAATTTTTCACACCTAAAAGTCACGTATGCCCAGCTTAGATTAATAATCCGTTTGAGTCACGAGATCATCACCGCGGAACTTATGGCAACTTTGACTTCCATTTAAATAGGTGTTTTAATACACCTAATAATGACTAATTTTTCACACCTAAATATCACGGATTCACAGCTTAGATTAGTAATCAGTTTTAACTACGTGATCATCACCAAGAAAGTTATGGTAACTTTGAAACCATTTAAATAGGTGTTTTAAGACACCTAATAATGACTAATTTTTCACTCCTAAAAGTCACGTATGACAAGCTTAGATCAATAATCCGTTTAAGTCACGAGATCATCACCGCGGAACTTATGGCAACTTTGACTACCATTTAAAAAGGTGTTTTAAAACACTTAATAATTACTAATTTTCACACCTACATATCACGTTTTCACAGCTTAAATTAGTAATCAGCTTGAGCCACGTGATCATAACCAAGAAATTTATGGTAACTTTGAAACCTTTTGAAGAGGTGTGTAAGACACCTCAGAATTACTAGTTGAATATAACCAGAGATTCACGGACAGAACAATAAGACGATTAGCCGGTGTAAGTAACGTGATTATTACCATCAACCTTGGATAACCTGTGAAACCAATCAATAAAGGTGCTTACAAGACCAAATAATTACGTATTTATCGCCACCATCGGTTAACTGACAAAAAACTCGTTGCTTGGTCAAGTGGTTATTTGGTCATAAACACTTGATTTACAGAGGTAAGTGGAATCACGTTACTCCAGTCGCGTGATAAACTGGTGGTTTTTAGGTTAGATGAAAAAGTGAACAGGAATACCTTTTTTGTTTAAATGAAGGCACGTGTCGATAACGTTTAAATCTAGTTCAAAAGGCACTATACTTTAAAATCACTTAAAATACACTCCCAAAAGAGGTTACTTTTTGGTGTTCTGTTTATTGGGATGCCACCTGTTCATCCAAGCGTGAACACATACCACACAAAAATGGTACCAAATGATTAGGGATAAAACACTCCTTCATAAGATGTAAAATAATTTACTGTTCATAGATGATTTTAAAAATAATTAGCAATTTTCTAGGTGATTTTTTTTTTTTTTACTCACACGGTATTTTTCATTCGTTTTGTGCCAATTCCTCTAAGGAGGGCGAACCTCAGAAGATTTTCACCACCTTATAATAATAAATAATAACGTTTTATTTACCCAGGGTAGCCAGTTCAGTTATGAAACTGCTCTTCCAGCGGGCCCTGCATAACATAATGTGTTATTACTACCCTTCTCCAATCTATATGCTGAGCGCCTAGCTAGAAGGCAGAAGGTCCCGTGGTTATAAGTCTTTGGTATGACTCGGCTGGGGTTCGAACCCACGACCTCCCGTTCATGAGGCGGGCGCTCTAACGACTGAGCCACCATGCCGCATATTGCCCCTGGTAACGGCGATTTTTTTTTTGTTCTTGTTTTTGTTTGGGGGAAGGGGGGGGGGGGGTAATTAAGTTCAATACTACCAACATACCACACTGAAAATTCGCTGTGCAACTTTATACAATGGTTAGGTGGTTCACTCCTTTCACAGATTGATTGTTTGATTGATTGATCAAATTTTATTTGTCAAGCTTCCAACATACAATATACAAGAATAACATATCAAAATTAGGTCAGCTTGAACAGGATAACCCACGAAAGCTCGAGAGTTTATTTCCAGTGGAGTTTTTTTTAATTTTATTACACAACCGGGCTTTTTCTCTTACGTGAAGAAAATTATACAATGAGGTGAACATTTGTGCTTCAACGATTCCTCTATTGTTCAACAACGTTTTTTTTTTATGAATCTTATTGTTCAACTGCACGCACAGTAAGTTTAATCTTTTTAAGCCGGTTCATAGATGAACGATTGTAATGCGTGAATAACAGTAACTGTTCAACCCTTTTCGCAGCATTTTTAGCCAACTTGTCTTTATCTTCATGACTTGTGAGGAGAAACCCGTGTAATTGGAAGTGCGATGTCTTCTCATGAGTCGAGATGGCGTGGATGGGCTAGTATATTTGGCGGAGTTCTCATCAACTTAACCACCGGGACTGTCTATACCTTTGGTAAGGCTATATTAGTTCTAATTAATTAAAGACGTCAGCTTTTAGCGTGATTCTTTGATGGCGCTCCTAACATTATTAAGGGGTGTGTGAAATGAGCGGTCGGACGTATGGCAAGCCGTTTTAACATTTATTCATGTATCTTGATATCAAGAATTCTATTCTTGATATCAAAAAATGAATTCTTGATATCAAGAAATCGAATTCTTGATATCAAGAATTACCATTGCTTTACAACGTAAAATTGTTTCTTTATATAAAGAATTCGATTTCAAGTTGATATCAAGAACTCATTTCTTGATATCAAGAACTCATTTCTTGATATCAAGAACTCAATTCTTGATATCAAGAACTCAATTCTTGATATCAAGAACTCATTTCTTGATATCAGGAAATTGAATGCTTGATATCAAGAAATCGAATTCTTGATATCAAGAAATAATTTTACATTGTAAAGCAATGGTATCAAGATCATTTCTTGATATCAGGAAATTGAATTCTTGATATCAAGAAATCGAATTCTTGATATCAAGAAATAATTTTACATTGTAAAGCAATGGTATCAAGAACTCATTTCTTGATATCAGGAAATTTTATTTATTTATTTTATTTATTTATTTATTTATGCATGTTCACAATTTCACAATTCATTGAAGTTAACATCACATGAAAATTAATATAAGATGACAAATCATTTTCAATTTTACAATACATTTGAATTAACTTCACGTGAAAAAGAATATAACATTGTTTTATCAAAGACAAGTTGCAACTTATATACAGTTTGAAGAATGAACACACAAAGGTGATGAAACATAAGCAAATAGAGCTTGAATCGTTACAACACCTTTCAAATATATAATATATGACAAATAAAATTCCTAAAGTTTTGTAGTGAACTATTTACACTATTTACAAAGTTTTAAAAAAGAAAGAAAAAAAAAATTCGTTAGGCCTAGTAACAAAATTATGTTAGATTTAATTAGAACTGATAAATAGATTATAATGTAAGTAATATCTTACATCTGTGAAATGATAATACATTTGAGTGCTCTTTTAAAAGAGTTTGTTGATTTTATATTTCGAATATCATTAGGTAAAGAATTCCATACATCTGGACCTCTGTGTCTGATTGAATTCTGGGCTAATGTAGTGTGAGGATTGACCACATGTAAATTCGATGACTGCCTTATGAACCATGTTATTAGGTTGGAACATTGAAGATAATGACGTAGGTAATAATTTGATATTAAAACGGAACATAAATATGGCAATTTGGAGGAAGTTAATATCATCAATCTTTAAGCATTTCAGTTTAACAAATAGTGGGGTAGCATGGTCACGATAACCAGCTCGGGTACATATGCGTACAGCTTTCTTTTGTAACAGAAGAATATTATTAGTCACACACTTGGATGTTGCCCACAAAATATTACAATAAGAAATGTGTGGTAAAATTAGACTATTATATAGCATAAGTAATATTCTATCAGAAACAAAACATTTTATTCTATACAGTACGCCAATATTTCTGGAGATTGGTGTAACAATGTGTTTTACATGGTCGCTCCAGTCAAGTTTTTCATTGATATAGACACCAAGGAATTTCGTACATGTCTTTCTCTCTAAAGAAATATCATCTAGTTTAATATTAAGAGCAAGGTTGTCATTAGATTTTCTACCTCTAAAATGAATATAATTTGTTTTAAGAACATTGAGAGAGAGCACATTACTTCTAAACCATAAAGTCAACTTTGGTAGTTCCGAATTTAGTTTCTGTTCTAGAGTGTTGATTTCACGATGAGACAAGAAAACACTCGTATCATCTGCAAATAAGGTATAATTTAAAGTTTTAGATACATTACAAATATCATTGATATAAATAAGAAATAATAATGGGCCCAGGATGGATCCCTGCGGAACACCACATTTAAGATACAGAATGTCAGAGTTAACAGAGTTATGATAAGTGTACTGTCTTCTCATAGATAAGTAACTTGCAAGCCATTGTAAAGCTATGCCCCTTATTCCATAATGCTCTAACTTAGAAAGAAGAATTGAATGGTCAAGTGTGTCAAATGCTTTACTCAGATCCATAAATACACCAATGACATGCTCGTGAGCAGCGAGTGCACTTGAAACGCGATCATAAAATTTCAGTAGCGCAAGATCTGTAGAATGAGACCGCCGAAATCCAAATTGATCAGGATTCAATGATTCACATTTATCTGTAGAGCCTGTTATAAACAATTCGTTCCAAAACTTTAGAAAAGCTAGGCAGTAATGAGATTGGTCTATAGTTAGAAACGACCATCACGTCATCTTTTTTATGAACAGGAATCACCTTTGCCAGTTTGAAAGAAGAAGGAAACACTCCGGTCATCAAAGAGAGATTGCAAATGTGTACAAGAGGCGTTAGAATTGAACCAATGATCTTTTTCAATAAAAATGTACTGATTTCATCATGCCCAGAAGAGTGACTGTTTTTTAGCGATCTCACTACATTGAGAATTTCAATGTAATCCGTTGGTTTTAGAAAAATAGAAGTATTAGATGGTTCATTGAGGTACTGTGTGAAGTTGGTTCCATCTTTATTTATCATCTTGGCTTGATTTAGGCCAACATTGACAAAATAAGTGTTATATGCATTTGCAATATCTTCTGCATTTGTTATTTCTTTATTACCATGAACAATTTTTCCTGGAACTTCATGTTTTCCTTGCTTGCATAAAATATCCTTTACAATTTTCCAGGTAGATGAAATATTGCCATTTGCACTTTCAAACCTCTTAGAGTAAAATAAACGACGTGAACATCGTATAATTGATGTTAATTTATTTCTATATTTCTTGTATTTTTCAACATTATCTGGTGATCGTTTGAAATTGAATTCTTGATATCAAGAAATCGAATTCTCGATATCAAGAATTGTTATAGTGAATGATTTCTAACGCTATAGTATTGCACGAACTCATTCTGAGCGCGCCGTTTTAACATTTATTCCTATATCCTGCCTGAGCGGGCGTATGCTCCAAGGGGGGAGCCCCCGAAAGCGCAGGGGTTTTAGGCATTACAATTAAGATCAGATTAGCACCCAGGGGCCATCCTTAGGGCCCAAGATAGGGTCCAGGGGGCAGAGCCCCCGGAATTAGCTCAGGGGTATGGGCATTTAATTACGGTTACATGAGCATACTTTCTTTTCTATTTCTTTCTATTTAATTCTCTTTAATATACTTTTTCAAAAGTGTGGGGTGGGAGGGGGGGGGGGGGGGGGGCTTGAGCCCCCAAGCTCGCCGTTCCGCGGGACCTGACATGTCGGCCTCTAAATAGTAAAAACGCACATTTCTTGCCTGACTGTAAATTGTGATATATGTCATTCTCCAACAAACGCATAAAAAGTATAATTTACTAAAAAGCGAGGAAAAATCCCGGAAAATTAGGCCATTTCAGCAAGATCTGTATATCACTGGTATCAAATTAGAAGGGAAAAAAAATCACTTTAAAAGTTTATATTGGTGGGGTGGGGAGGGGGGGGGGTAGGAACTGGCAGAATACTTACACCTATGGTGTCGAGGGGCTCTTTCTTCCTTTTTTTGTTCGGTAATAAATAAGGTTAGTTTGTGTGGGTGTCACTCAGGCGCGGATATACGGGGGGCAATGGACCCGCCCCCCCCCCCCCTCTTTGAAAAAATAAGAAAGGAAAGGAAAGAAAAAAGAAAGGAAAGGAAAAAGTAAAGAAAAAAGGGCTAAAAACATGGGTTAGAAGAAGACCCATCAGGGCACTCACTTATCCGTACCAGGAGGAAAAATACACGGGGGCTCGGGGTGAATTAGCCCCCGAAATGCCAAAAAGAGCCCCCAAAAGTCATAAAAGTAACCCCCGAAATGTTTAAAGTATTTTTTCTCTGATCCGTATATAGGACAAGGCCCTGGGGCAGCTAGCCATACTCCGATATTTGGGTCGTTTTCCGATCAGAACTAGCCCTAACTATCATTCCAGGATTTTTTTGTTTCAGAACCTAAGACAAAGTTACCCAATCCCTTTAAGTTTCAAATAGTAGACTTCATTGAACTGTAATTAGGCTTAGAAACCGGGGGGAGGGGGATTGGGGGGCACAGCCACCCCCCCCCCCCCTTCCAAAAAAAAAATATATATATATGGGGGGGGGGGGTCTCAGAGATCATTGAGTCCCCCCCCCCCCCCCCCCCAATATTATTGGCGGGGCTTATAGATATCATTAATTGAGCCCCCAATATTTTAAGTGGGGCTCAGATATCATTGAGCCGCCCTCCTCCCCAATGATTATATTCTAGGCATGAAACTCATGTATACCTATAATCTACAGACGTACCATTCAAATATAAACATATTATAAATATTTATTTAGGGATGAGAGAGAGGGGCTCAGACAGCGGATCTCGCATATCATTGACCCAAAAAATATATTTGGTGGATCTCGGATATCATTTAACCCCCCAAATATTTTGGAGGGACTCTGATATCATTGAGCCCCCCCCCCCCCCCATATGTTGGTGGGGCTCAGATATCATAAGCCCCCCCTCAAGTGTTTTTGGTGGGGCTCGGATAAAATCACAGAGCCCCCGATATTTGTGTAGGGCTCGGATAACATCACGAAGCCCCCCGATATTTTTGAGGGGCCCGGATATCATTGAGCCACCCCCCCCCTCCTCCCCCCCCCCAAAAAAAAAAAAAAAAAAAAATTCGGCCCGGCTCGGTTATCATGAGCCCCCTCCCCAATATTTTGTTCGTGCTGATGAGTTGAGGGAAGTGTATGCCGGAGATATTGACTTTGTAGCATTAACTCGGCAGCTAACAAGCCTCCAAGACGTGTGTGACGATGAGAGTAAACCTATCAAATATACATTAAAGCAATCTGTGAGATTTTCAACAACAGTCCAATCTATAAGAGATCATTCTCAGAGGTGCACATCCTTCTTCTCATTTACCTTACAATCCCGGTTACAACGGCAACTTGCGAGAG